TGATGAACAGTCTACGTTCTTCTCGCACACAAGAGAATGAAATGCCTGCCACACTGCAGCCCTGGCAGTAGTCCTACAGCACCTCGAAATCCAGGCAGAGGCCTGTGTCCACAGAAATGGCAGTGCCAATGCCATTCTGGCTCTTATGTCCCCGTTTCTGCCACGTCCCGTCAAACATCACGGCGATGTCGCTCTGAGCCGCTTCAGACGCAGTTGCTCGCCTTGCTTCTGCAAGGTTGTCAGAGACGGCTTTGGTGGCAGCAGCGTGGACTTTTTTCGAGATGTTGTGGAACGTTTTTTGATGGAGCGGTTTGGGGAGACCGAGGATGCCACAAAATCTAACCAGCTGGTCGTGACTGACACTACTTTCATGTTGAATGCAAAGGTGTCGTGGGCGCTTCCACTGCTTTGTTTAGGGTCGCGCATTTCACGGCCGGCGGCGGTCGCACGATGTGGTTTATATGCAGCTGAAAGAACTTCGGGAGGGCATGCAACGTTCGTGCATTTGAGTTCCAGCAAAGATGCAAGGCCGTTGCGTTTGTTTTCAACTTCCACAACGGAAATTTTGCTCTTGCCGCATGTCACCCACGTCGCGCCGCTCACAAGTTGCGTAAGGGTTTGACTTTCGCAGATAACGGCGTTTCCGCCGCTTTCTTTCTCAACGGTTTCATTGCAAAATGTCATCTGCTTCTTTCCCGAAGCACTTGCGGAGTACGACAAGTCGTTGATGAACTCCGAAGCGCTCTGTTGCTCGGCGCTTGCGGTGCTCGAAGGCGCGTTGGGCGCGTCGCCATTCTGCTCGAGCGGTAGGTCCCTGGGTGGGTCCATCGCATTTGTCCCTTTTGTGCGTTTGCTTTCGCCTTCCCTTGAACGGGCGCAGTGGCCGACTCTTCCGGAGTCGAGGGTGGCCTTTCTCGTCGCCATCGATCGTGAAAAACGCTCAATAGTCGCAGAAACCATAGTTCTCGTTTCAGATAGCGTGCGACGCGATACAATTGGCAAAGATGCGCTAGCTTCACTGCATGGTTCGTTAGGGTGTTAGCAAATAGCAGTACCACATTTATGTCCCGTAGTTCCTGAAGGCTCGTCGGGACGCGGGAAAATGTTTTTTTAATATTATTTCTACCGCTAGTACGAAACTGTGGTAGGAGTCAACGGAAATGAAGGCTTATTCCTCCTGGTCGAAGTGACGGCAACAATGGCTGACGCAAACTTTGGGAGAGACGCGAGCTCGAAAAACCTCGTAAGTTACAAACTTCTCCATTTTTGTGAGTCGCGGTAAAGGCCCGTTCACACTCTTGCGACCGAGTAAGACCGAGAGAGACCAGACCGGTTTTCAAGCCTCTTGCGATCTCTTAGGACCAGCTCCGCTGCATCGCATCCGGTCCTAAGAAGTCGCAAAAGGCTTAAAAACCGGTCTGGTCTCTCTCGGTCGCAAGAGTGTAAACAGCGCTTGAGGCGTTCAAGTTTTTTTGTTTTTTTTTTGTAACTTCTAGGCCGAATTTTGTAACAATTCTTTTTTATATGAAACTAGAAGGCATACAGATTGCAAAACATTAAAAAAAAAAATCTGAACTTTGAGCCGAAGCGTCGATTGCTTGGTTCACTTGACAGTAGCAATAAGAAAGGGCAGAGGCAGCATCACAGCTCTAGAAACTCCGGGTATTGTAGAATGGACAGTCTTCAGCGATATGAGGGGCCCATTGGAAACATGTGGCCAAGACAGTGACTGGCAGGGGTGCGAGATGCCTTGTGGACAGCTTCACATTGTTCCACATAGAATGAAATGCGATAATGAAACTAGTTGAATCAGTGCACTAGGGCTGAAGAGATTTATCACTTCTGGGCACCATAGAATTTCCTTAAGTGAGAGTATCCTAGCCTCTGTCTTTCCAGTGCGCTCGGAGTGTGTTTAGCATATTGCTGGAGACTGCGTCACTATAAATAGAATTCCTTTTTTAGGGGGCTTTTTTGTTTCACATCAGAGTTTTCTAGGGTCTTTCTTTTCCCACAAATTGTTCCAAATTTTCTGGTGTTAATCTTGGGTGTCAGACAAAATATGGCTGCTTGTTGGGGCTTATGTTTGGGGAACGACACATCGGCATGGATTGCCCCAACCTCTGGGGAAATGCATGGGACCCGAATACCTCGGAAACATTCCGTACCAATAAAAAAAAAAGGAACTAGATAACGGGTGTTCCAAAGATACCAGGGACGTAAACAGTTAATTGGGGAGTGTGTTCTAACACCGTAAAATAAAGCAGCACAGAATTATTTTTTTGAGTGAAGCTTAGGATTCTTCATTCAAAAACTGCTCCAATTTGGGGGTTTTCGGTTTTCTGCAACACTGACAGAACTGGACCGCAGGTCAATTTTGCAGGGTTTACCGGTGCTCCGATAAACCCGAAAAAATATGGAATCCTAATTATAAAGGACATGACAAACCGGCGAATCTTTGGACCTGCCTCCAAGAATAGCCAATCGCTTAAATGAAAGAGGAGAGTGAGAAAAGGGTAATTACACAGGAGCCACTTGCAAACATGCTTATCGAAGGCAGTTGTTAAATAAAATGTATGTCTTCAAGCTACAGTATGTCTTCCATCTCGGCATCAGCAGGCATCCCAGGCTGTCTATTTTCTGCGGGGGTTGCGGTCTCTCCAGGGCAATACATTTCCGCAAGGATCTCTGCATATTGAGAAAAACACCAAGTGACAGAATAAAAGCTATGCAGTTTTGTGCAATATTTCTCGTAGGTAGAAAATTTGAAATAGCTTTCAGCTCATCATGCCCAAGTCCCGTTAGAGTGACAAACAAAAATAAACAACAGCGACAAGCGATACCTTTGGCAGTCATTTAGTTGTCCGGTGCTCTCAAAGTAAGCACGGGTCATCGCAAGCCGGCCAAAGATACCCTCGCGTGCATGGTGCTCGTGTTTGAGGCGCGACGGTGTCGGTTGTTTCCGTTAGTCGCTTTGCCGTGACTCGGGCATTAGAGTCTGTCTGGAAAGCTGCACTCTTTATGAACACCTGCCTCCTGGCACGGAAGTGGGGGCTCCTTCACTCCAGTTTGTAGACATGGTGTTGTGTGAGGCTCCTTTTGTCTTGGGACAAACCAGGGTTCTGCCACGTCATCGTTACAATGCATACAAAATACGGCACAATCTGCAGTGCCCTTTGTTGTCCAAAACATTCTGTGCCTACCATCTGCACAGATTTGACCATCGGGGAACCCCAGGAACTTGAAAAGAACCCACGTGGGAGGCTGGACATCCTCCTCGCCAGCTTTACTCTTGCCTTTCGCCGCTCTCGTCTCTTAACATAGCGGTTGCGGATGGCCTTCCACATTCTGTGACATTCGATCACCTCCAAGCCTGAAACCGGGAACCTCATCAGGATGGTACGAACAAATGACAATAATTACAATCAAACGTTACGAAGGAATAAACAGCATTGACTTTACGGGTTGGAATCGCAAAGTCGACCTGCTCGTGCATCCTACAAAAGCGCAATGTTCACTACGGAAGTACCTGCGGAAACGTCTCGAGCATCTTCGAAGGATGTTCGTTCGATAAATGTGTGGGCTTCGAACATGTCTGCAGTCAGTTCTTGAGTGACCAATATGACCATCATGGAAGGAAAAGCCTCAGACAGTGTCCCTGAAGACCGTCTCTTGACCAATCGGGATTAGCAGTGTGATCGCAACTTAAGAGTATGTCACTGAAACATCTCGTCATTATGGTAGGTGCACGTGCCACCTCCCTTGCATCCAGTGGTGTAGCCAAGGAGGAGGCTATCACTTTGCCGCCAATGCACCAGCGGCTCCAAAGCTGGTCCTGTGTCGCTGTGTCGCCGTCGTCCATGTGCCAGGGACTGGAGTCGGCAGCTGTAGTGATTCGGAGCTCGAGGGCTCTGCGGGATGTTGCCGCCAATTGCGGCGCCGGACTCCACGTCCGTACAAAAGCGTTCAATTTTTGTACGTTAGCCACGGATGTTCTGATAAAATAAATCGACGTTTTTTTTGTTTTTTTTTTAACTTCTAGGCCGAATTTTGTAACAATTCTTTTTTATATGGAACTAGAAGGCATACAGATTGCAAAAACATTAAAAAACAAAAATCTGAACTTTGAGCCGAAGCGTCGATTGCTCGGTTCACTTGACAGTAGCAATAAGAAAGGGCAGAGGCAGCATCACAGCTCTAGAAACTCCGGGTATTGTAGAATGGACAGTCTTCAGCGATATGAGGGGCCCATTGGAAACCTGTGGCCAAGACAGTGACTGGCAGGGGTGCGAGATGCCTTGTGGACAGCTTCACATTGTTCCACATAGAATGAAATGCGATAATGAAACTAGTTGAATCAGTGCACTAGGGCTGAAGAGATTTATCACTTCTGGGCACCATAGAATTTCCTTAAGTGAGAGTATCCTAGCCTCTGTCTTTCCAGTGCGCTCGGAGTGTGTTTAGCATATTGCTGGAGACTGCGTCACTATAAATAGAATTCCTTTTTTAGGGGGCTTTTTTGTTTTCACATCAGAGTTTTCTAGGGTCTTTCTTTTCCCACAAATTGTTCCAAATTTTCTGGTGTTAATCTTGGGTGTCAGACAAAATATGGCTGCTTGTTGGGGCTTATGTTTGGGGAACGACACATCGGCATGGATTGCCCCAACCTCTGGGGAAATGCATGGGACCCGAATACCTCGGAAACATTCCGTACCAATAAAAAAAAAAGGAACTAGATAAGGGGTGTTCCAAAGATACCAGGGACGTAAACAGTTAATTGGGGAGTGTGTTCTAACACCGTAAAATAAAGCAGCACAGAATTATTTTTTTGAGTGAAGCTTAGGATTCTTCATTCAAAAACTGCTCCAATTTGGGGGTTTTCGGTTTTCTGCGACACTGACAGAACTGGACCGCAGGTCAATTTTGCAGGGTTTACCGGTGCTCCGATAAACCCGAAAAAATATGGAATCCTAATTATAAAGGACATGACAAACCGGCGAATCTTTGGACCTGCCTCCAAGAATAGCCAATCGCTTAAATGAAAGAGGAGAGTGAGAAAAGGGTAATTACACAGGAGCCACTTGCAAACATGCTTATCGAAGGCAGTTGTTAAATAAAATGTATGTCTTCAAGCTACAGTATGTCTTCCATCTCGGCATCAGCAGGCATCCCAGGCTGTCTATTTTCTGCGGGGGTTGCGGTCTCTCCAGGGCAATACATTTCCGCAAGGATCTCTGCATATTGAGAAAAACACCAAGTGAGAGAATAAAAGCTATGCAGTTTTGTGCAATATTTCTCGTAGGTAGAAAATTTGAAATAGCTTTCAGCTCATCATGCCCAAGTCCCGTTAGAGTGACAAACAAAAATAAACAACAGCGACAAGCGATACCTTTGGCAGTCATTTAGTTGTCCGGTGCTCTCAAAGTAAGCACGGGTCATCGCAAGCCGGCCAAAGATACCCTCGCGTGCATGGTGCTCGTGTTTGAGGCGCGACGGTGTCGGTTGTTTCCGTTAGTCGCTTTGCCGTGACTCGGGCATTAGAGTCTGTCTGGAAAGCTGCACTCTTTATAAACACCTGCCTCCTGGCACGGAAGTGGGGGCTCCTTCACTCCAGTTTGTAGACATGGTGTTGTGTGAGGCTCCTTTTGTCTTGGGACAAACCAGGGTTCTGCCACGTCATCGTTACAATGCATACAAAATACGGCACAATCTGCAGTGCCCTTTGTTGTCCAAAACATTCTGTGCCTACCATCTGCACAGATTTGACCATCGGGGAACCCCAGGAACTTGAAAAGAACCCACGTGGGAGGCTGGACATCCTCCTCGCCAGCTTTACTCTTGCCTTTCGCCGCTCTCGTCTCTTAACATAGCGGTTGCGGATGGCCTTCCACATTCTGTGACATTCGATCACCTCCAAGCCTGAAACCGGGAACCTCATCAGGATGGTACGAACAAATGACAATAATTACAATCAAACGTTACGAAGGAATAAACAGCATTGACTTTACGGGTTGGAATCGCAAAGTCGACCTGCTCGTGCATCCTACAAAAGCGCAATGTTCACTACGGAAGTACCTGCGGAAACGTCTCGAGCATCTTCGAAGGATGTTCGTTCGATAAATGTGTGGGCTTCGAACATGTCTGCAGTCAGTTCTTGAGTGACCAATATGACCATCATGGAAGGAAAAGCCTCAGACAGTGTCCCTGAAGACCGTCTCTTGACCAATCGGGATTAGCAGTGTGATCGCAACTTAAGAGTATGTCACTGAAACATCTCGTCATTATGGTAGGTGCACGTGCCACCTCCCTTGCATCCAGTGGTGTAGCCAAGGAGGAGGCTATCACTTTGCCGCCAATGCACCAGCGGCTCCAAAGCTGGTCCTGTGTCGCTGTGTCGCCGTCGTCCATGTGCCAGGGACTGGAGACGGCAGCTGTAGTGATTCGGAGCTCGAGGGCTCTGCGGGATGTTGCCGCCAATTGCGGCGCCGGACTCCACGTCCGTACAAAAGCGTTCAATTTTTGTACGTTAGCCACGGATGTTCTGATAAAATAAATCGACGTTTTTTTGTTTTTTTTTGTAACTTATAGGCCGAATTTTGTAACAATTCTTTTTTATATGAAACTAGAAGGCATACAGATTGCAAAAACATTAAAAAACAAAAATCTGAACTTTGAGCCGAAGCGTCGATTGCTCGGTTCACTTGACAGTAGCAATAAGAAAGGGCAGAGGCAGCAACACAGCTCTAGAAACTCCGGGTATTGTAGAATGGACAGTCTTCAGCGATATGAGGGGCCCATTGGAAACATGTGGCCAAGACAGTGACTGGCAGGGGTGCGAGATGCCTTGTGGACAGCTTCACATTGTTCCACATAGAATGAAATGCGATAATGAAACTAGTTGAATCAGTGCACTAGGGCTGAAGAGATTTATCACTTCTGGGCACCATAGAATTTCCTTAAGTGAGAGTATCCTAGCCTCTGTCTTTCCAGTGCGCTCGGAGTGTGTTTAGCATATTGCTGGAGACTGCGTCACTATAAATAGAATTCCTTTTTTAGGGGGCTTTTTTGTTTTCACATCAGAGTTTTCTAGGGTCTTTCTTTTCCCACAAATTGTTCCAAATTTTCTGGTGTTAATCTTGGGTGTCAGACAAAATATGGCTGCTTGTTGGGGCTTATGTTTGGGGAACGACACATCGGCATGGATTGCCCCAACCTCTGGGGAAATGCATGGGACCCGAATACCTCGGAAACATTCCGTACCAATAAAAAAAAAAGGAACTAGATAAGGGGTGTTCCAAAGATACCAGGGACGTAAACAATTAATTGGGGAGTGTGTTCTAACACCGTAAAATAAAGCAGCACAGAATTATTTTTTTGAGTGAAGCTTAGGATTCTTCATTCAAAAACTACTCCAATTTGGGGGTTTTCGGTTTTCTGCGACACTGACAGAACTGGACCGCAGGTCAATTTTGCAGGGTTTACCGGTGCTCCGATAAACCCGAAAAAATATGGAATCCTAATTATAAAGGACATGACAAACCGGCGAATCTTTGGACCTGCCTCCAAGAATAGCCAATCGCTTAAATGAAAGAGGAGAGTGAGAAAAGGGTAATTACACAGGAGCCACTTGCAAACATGCTTATCGAAGGCAGTTGTTAAATAAAATGTATGTCTTCAAGCTACAGTATGTCTTCCATCTCGGCATCAGCAGGCATCCCAGGCTGTCTATTTTCTGCGGGGGTTGCGGTCTCTCCAGGGCAATACGTTTCCGCAAGGATCTCTGTATATTGAGAAAAACACCAAGTGACAGAATAAAAGCTATGCAGTTTTGTGCAATATTTCTCGTAGGTAGAAAATTTGAAATAGCTTTCAGCTCATCATGCCCAAGTCCCGTTAGAGTGACAAACAAAAATAAACAACAGCGACAAGCGATACCTTTGGCAGTCATTTAGTTGTCCGGTGCTCTCAAAGTAAGCACGGGTCATCGCAAGCCGGCCAAAGATACCCTCGCGTGCATGGTGCTCGTGTTTGAGGCGCGACGGTGTCGGTTGTTTCCGTTAGTCGCTTTGCCGTGACTCGGGCATTAGAGTCTGTCTGGAAAGCTGCACTCTTTATAAACACCTGCCTCCTGGCACGGAAGTGGGGGCTCCTTCACTCCAGTTTGTAGACATGGTGTTGTGTGAGGCTCCTTTTGTCTTGGGACAAACCAGGGTTCTGCCACGTCATCGTTACAATGCATACAAAATACGGCACAATCTGCAGTGCCCTTTGTTGTCCAAAACATTCTGTGCCTACCATCTGCACAGATTTGACCATCGGGGAACCCCAGGAACTTGAAAAGAACCCACGTGGGAGGCTGGACATCCTCCTCGCCAGCTTTACTCTTGCCTTCGCCGCTCTCGTCTCTTAACATAGCGGTTGCGGATGGCCTTCCACATTCTGTGACATTCGATCACCTCCAAGCCTGAAACCGGGAACCTCATCAGGATGGTACGAACAAATGACAATAATTACAATCAAACGTTACGAAGGAATAAACAGCATTGACTTTACGGGTTGGAATCGCAAAGTCGACCTGCTCGTGCATCCTACAAAAGCGCAATGTTCACTACGGAAGTACCTGCGGAAACGTCTCGAGCATCTTCGAAGGATGTTCGTTCGATAAATGTGTGGGCTTCGAACATGTCTGCAGTCAGTTCTTGAGTGACCAATATGACCATCATGGAAGGAAAAGCCTCAGACAGTGTCCCTGAAGACCGTCTCTTGACCAATCGGGATTAGCAGTGTGATCGCAACTTAAGAGTATGTCACTGAAACATCTCGTCATTATGGTAGGTGCACGTGCCGCCTCCCTTGCACCCAGTGGTGTAGCCAAGGAGGAGGCTATCACTTTGCCGCCAATGCACCAGCGGCTCCAAAGCTGGTCCTGTGTCGCTGTGTCGCCGTCGTCCATGTGCCAGGGACTGGAGTCGGCAGCTGTAGTGATTCGGAGCTCGAGGGCTCTGCGGGATGTTGCCGCCAATTGCGGCGCCGGACTCCACGTCCGTACAAAAGCGTTCAATTTTTGTACGTTAGCAACGGATGTTCTGATAAAATAAATCGACGTGACCCATCTCTTTTCACTGGACATGGGGGCTCCTTCCGAGACGTGCAGGAGGTCGTTCCTTTGGCTGCCTCTTAAAGCTTTGAGGCAAGGTTTTGGCAACACTGCAGAATTGGCGAGTTCCTCGATATTGTCGGCAGGCACGGACATAATAATAATAGTTTTATTTGACACGAATTCAGAGATGTGATTCAAGTACGGCCCCGTCCAAACGAAGTAGGGCTCATGAGTCAGAACCCGGCAGGTGAGTGTCAAAAAAGTGTACTCGGTTGTTAGTGGCCCGACTAACGGGGGAAAGCGAAAAGTTGCGAGGTAATGGGAGAGTTTTACGTATATCATTGTTACTCTTTTACTGCCTTCCACTCATGCGCTAGTAAAATTTAAACAACATTCAAAAGTGAAATTTTTCTTTGACTTCACTTTTGTGAAGTCGCAACTAGTATGAAACTGGAAAAGGATATGGGTGACGACAAAAACTGTAAGTACTCCAAAATATTGTAACTGAATATCGCATAGGATGCTGCAAAAAGTCATCGGTGCAGATTGGCATATTGAAGTTTTTTAATACTATAATTTCCAACAGCAAATTAGTGGCCTACGAACAAAATGAGCCTGTTGTGTTGAGTGTAATACAACTATCCAAAAAACCTTCAGCAGCGACTAAATAGCGTCATTGGTTACGACTTTAATAGTATAAAGACACGTTCAATTACTTCATGGCCACATCCCTCCAAAATGCATACTATTTTTTAGGAGCGTATGAATTAGTTTTCTAAAAATCTGTCAAAACAGGGTTCATAACGGAACTTCCATGTTTATAATTAATACACAATAAAAGTTATTGAACAAAAGGTAAGGGTGCAAACGAGCTGGTGTTGGTTTAACATTTTGACTACCGTAAAATACCGGGCAAGCGCCCAATCAAATTTTGGAGATAATCGCAAAAAAAATGGTGGATGAGTGCTTGTCCAGTCATCAATTTTACATATAAATGTGCGCATATTTTCTCAGATCTTGCAAATTCGGTAATGGGCGCTTAATGTGAAATGGGCGGATGCATGGTATTCTACGGTAAAAATCTCGAGACTGGGAAGAGAATGGATGGACAAACACAAGACCTTGTGTTTTTCCATCCCTTCCCAGTCTTGAGTCAAAATGTATAAAAGTTATGCTTGCTTCAAAGCACTATTTTTTGCAAAAGAATATAAAAAATACCTGAGCCATTAACGTAATTGTGGCCGAAACAAATAGATATGTGTAAAACACATTTCTATTCACGCACGAGGGTCACACAATGCAACCGCTTTTCTGGATAGTCTGTAGTAAAGAATTACAGGACTGTTTATTAACTAGGTCCCATTTGTAATTTGTGGTGCATGGAGAGATGTCATTATTTCCGTGCTTACTTGACTGCAAAAAAAAAAGGTAGCTTTTTTGTTAAAAAAATTTTACTTGATGTAATTTAGGTTTATTTTATTTAAATAAGATTTATTTCATATAAATTGGATTATATTTAGCGGATTGGGACACAGCGCACAAGAAACGAAGATGGAGTAGAAGGGTGTACACAGGACAAGCGATTACTCTCAACTGAAGATTTTATTGAAAAGAAAAGGAGTTGAGTAATGCGGATTCTTGGGCGAGTTGGTACTGAAACTTGGAGAACATAATAGCGCTTCACGACTGGGACGAAGAGTAGGAATGAGACAACACAATGCACCAACTTCAACTGGTTCGTTAGAAAATCAAGGGTATAAATACTCTGCATCATCGCGCCCTTCAACCAATCCCGTGCCACGCCACTGATCTCAACAACTGTGTCTCTTTGTCGCCCAAATCGATCGACGCCACGCTGACACATCGATCTCCGTAGTTTTTTTATCAGGTCTGCCTCTATAATTTTCCTTACTGTATTATCTCTGTTTTCTAATAACAGTGCACAAATTAAATTCAGGTTTGCACCCACAGTCATGGAAGTGCATCGACAAATGACCGTCACGTTTTCTAGCCTGCTCACTAGACATAAAAATTTATACTATCCCCTTCCGCACGACAAACTACTGACCTGCGTAGAGGAAAGCATCGATAAACACGGGGTGGTGGCCTTTCAGAACGCAGCAGGAATGACTGTAGATGACTTTCTCGAATTGCTTACATTTGATCTAAACTCGACCTTTGTTGAGTGGAACAGGGGAGTGTATATTCAGAAGCGAGGGGTGTGTATTTGCTAGTGTTTAGCTCCAGTTTTACGTGATATATTTTTAGCCCATCATGACAGAGTTCTCTCGGAATGCCTGAATGACTTTAATGGTAGCAAGGTTTTTAGATTCGTCGACAATTATTTAGTTTTTCTTCACCATGATGTTTCTCACTTTTCCTTGGTGGTGAACAGCCTTTTAACAGTTTTTAGTACCATCCTTGATCCTCTCAAGCTTACGCACGAGGTACTTGTGGACAACGTCATACAGTTTTTAGATATCAGGCTCACACTTTTGGAACAACACGTGTGTTGGAAATACCAACCAAGAGCAGATAAGCCCCTGTTGGCGTTCAATTCATCTCATTTGAAACTTGTTAGGAGAGGAATTGTAAATTTGTGCTTTGTGAACTCCATCAGAAGGTTGTGTCATCATGCAATGCCTTAAAGTCTGAAGGAGCAGTCAGAACGCTTGGTGGCTGCCGGTTTTCCAGGGACGCTCCTGGTGTCGGCTGCAGAAAAAGTTGTAAAGGAGCTACGAGTAGTAGCGAGTCCAGACCAAGATGTGGCTCAAAAGAAACAAAGTCTGGCGGTTGTGCCTTACATGCACAAAACCGCACGCAATATCAAAAAGATAGCAAACCACGTAAATGCTCGGGTGGTTCTTTCTGCACCGGAAAAACTTGCCAAGTTGTGCAAAATGACGGACCCTCACCGCAAACCACCGGTTGGCTGCGTGAAGAAGCATCGCAGCTTGTTTGTAGAATGCGCAGCGAGAGTCGTCTATCCGATCTCGCTGACGTGCAGTAAAAAGTATGTGGGACAGACGGGAAGATGTCTAAATGACAGATTGCGCGAACACAACCAAAAAGTGAGCGGACAGCTTGACGATCATTTGTCAATGCACTGCCTTGACTGTGGGTGCAAACCTGAATTTAATTTGTGCACTGTTATTAGAAAACATAAAGATAAGGCGGTAAGGGAAAGTTTTACACATGCACACGCCCTAAATTTTTACACATGCAGAAATCAAGAGGGGGGTCAGGACATCCGGACCTCCCCTCTGAATCCGTTCCTGGCTGAAACTACCGTTTGCAATTCGACATTGGAAGCAATTGCCAAACTTGTGGTTCCTTAGCAATCTCAAATTGTTTTGCAGCCATACAAATCCCAATATTGACCAGTAGATGGGCGATATGGGACAGGCACGTCAGAAGCCACCTCTTTTCTCATTTGTGTGTTGGCAAGAAGTTGTCACTGAAATATTGCCTGACCGTAGACTTCAAAACGGATTTAATTTTGTTTCGTTAGTTGATAATGAACGATAATAGTCAACAGCCGAGAATGATCTCGCTCTCACCCATGACCAAAATAGGAGCCCTGAAGGTAATTTTGGCCACCAACTGGTTGACGTCAACTTAGCCAGCTTGTCTGCACTCCGAATAAAGACCGGTAGCTACGAAAATGAAATAAAAAGTGAGTTTCAGACGCTATTCTTTTTTGTCGCCGATGGCTCGAGCACATGAGGTAAATCTTGACGCGAAAGAAATCAAGTGACCTCGAGAACACTTCCTCCGCACATAGAATAACGTGGGGCAAACATCTGTCAACATGGCATCTAGCTTAGTGTGTGGGAGGAATCAAGATGCTTCCTTTCGTAACAACAGTCAGGCATTCTTTCACAATGTCCTGACCTTCATTTTACTTTACCACAAGACTCTGTAGGAGAAAGCAGGTGATCCCAAATCGGTTCTAGATTTTCATACCGTGTAAGCAAACTTGCCTCTGGGCTCACGCCTCATTTTTCAACGTCTGCTGCCGCTGCAGAAGTGGACGCCACTCCCCCCGCAACAGGGAGCACTTTGGTGCTGATGGAAGAGAGTAAAAATGTTTTAAACTCAGACCCGATATCAACTGTGCTTGTTTTTAGCAGTAAGTGATGTAGCATATTACCGTCGGTGCTGAATCTGGCCCTTAAGGAAGGCCAGTTACTTGAAGAGGTGCCATGTTGGCACGGCAAGACCATCGCGGCCAGCACCGCTCCGGCCTCTTTGTTTCTTCGATTCTCTCGCATACTTGGCCCTCATGGCCAGCCAAGCCTGACAGCAGGTGTTAGAGTCGCTGCCTGAAGTGAATGAAGTAAATGTGGCATAAATAACTAAAGTATCGCTTATGAATACAAGTTTTAGAACAGAAATCATGATGGAACTAGATTTATAACACAACTTCAATTAGGACAGCCAGTAGGTGTAACAGACATGCACCAGGTTTGCTTGCCAGTATTCAACCCAAACTTTACAAACCTCCTTCAGCATCTTGAAATGTAGTCTTTTTATGTTCTGCCTGTTTGATCTCTTCATTACTGATCGCTCGATTAATAATGGCTTCCCATTTCGTGCCATGACTTTGGGAAATGGTTATGCGAGGTACGCAAACGAGAGGTGCGAGCAGTGGGTTGTGGGTGGGTGTGCGCTGCCCACTCGGACGTGAATGGTCACAGACAGCTGCAGGGAGGCCGCATCTGTGGCTCCGAGGCAAACCGCCGGCCCAAAGAATCGAATCCCCAGTTGGTGGGTTGGAATCCTAGCTGGAGAGAAGGTGCCAGGTAACCGAGATTTCAGTTTCACGTTCAAAGAATCCCAGGTGATGTAAATTAATCGCTGAGGTATGCGACGGCCTTCCTTGATTTGGCATGCAGAACTTCGCAAACGTTTCTTTGCGAATGGCAGGGAAGTCTATTGGCACTATCGCCTCCGGCGTGACCCAAAACAAATCTTTGATAACACTTTGGCGTCTTGCGAGCTTCGAGTGTACGCCCAGGCGCGTGCAGCTGACCGTGAACGGGAACGTTCATGCATAGTGAAAGTTAGACAGAAGGCAACAAGCGTGCGACGAAGGCAGGCCGTCCAGAGGTGCCCTGGGTTGAGGCGCAAATTATATAGTTCTGTTAAGAGGTCATACTCACAGAAAGCGATTCCAATTGCCTTCCAGGAATTTTTGCGCTGCCCAGTGTCCCTGTAGTCCATACGGCTTGCGTTCCATAGCCATGGACACCGCTCAATTTCGATGATGAGTGCTTCTGAGCAAGGAGCCACTGGAGGAGCTGCCATGTTGTCAACGGAGAACTGACTCATGACTGGCATACAACGCCTTGATTCGTGATTGGTCTGTTCCCATACTGTGATATTTAGTCAGACCTGTGTATACAAAAAGTACAAGGGACAAAAACGGATCCATTATGCTTTGTACCATGCACATCTAGCATGCAAACTACGAATTCAGAACCAATGAATACTTTCGTGAAACTTTCATTTGCATTTAATTTTTTTATGTTATTGTACTGCGCAATTATTCTTTTGTTTCTGAAGGAAGCCTGTGTTATGGGGACTAGCCGAGAAACCAAAGTAAAAAAAAGTCATAAATTTATATTTTGATAACTGACGCTCGCTTTAGTGTTTTAAAGGAAACCTGGTAAGCGGGAGGTAGATGCACAACAAAAATAACCTGAAAAGTTTGAAGTTGCTTGTATAAAGTGAAGCAGAGTAATAGCGAAACAATTCGAGTCATTGGGTGGCATTGAGCCATGGCGTTGATGCAAAATGCGCTGCAAAAATCGACACCTGCATATACCCACATTTTCATCGAACATGTATTTTATAGGGAGACGCATTCTTGTGAAATCTCTCGGTGTAGTTGACTCGTTCCTGTAAAAATTTAGAACATCTTCACCGAGGGCAATGACGAAAAGGTTAGCAGATAACTTTCGGTCGTGTTTGGTGCTCCGGACGAGAGATGGTGCCACCTTTCTGTTTGGAATGTCGAGAAGGAAAGAGGGGAGGGGAGAGCCCTCCCTCCCTCTTTCCTTGACGGTCGCCCGACCTCCCATCCCGGTAATCATCTTCCGATGATGGCCTGCAGTGCTTTGTCATTCTTGTTTATTTTCGCAGTTATGGTTGCTGCAAATATATCCCATGGTTGAACGTTAGGAAAGTACAATACTTCTGGCTAGTGAAAATCAATTACAACAAACTCCCATGAAACTGAACACACTTAAACTGAATTCATGGATACGTGGAACAAAGTTGGAATGTTTGGTTGGTTTCCTGTAGATTCTATGCAGAAAAAGCTTGCTTAACACAAACCACTTCGCATGCCCATTTGTTGGTTCAAACGTTTGCAGCATAGCGCACATTCTGTGCAACTTCCCTTAGTGGGGAAGCTGCTGAGGCTGCCGCACAATGTCTCCTACCCTGGGACGACGGAACGGGAGTTTGTAGGAGAGAGAATATTGGTGTTGACAGCAGTGGCAGAGGATTACCCACATTTCCTGCCATATTGCCGCCACGCTCATAGCCGAAGACAAATGTAGTCAAAGCTCTCGAGATAGGCAGTCGTGTCAGTCGTGTTGTATAATCTTACTCTATAGCAGTGGCTCTCAACGAGGTGTGTGTTGTGGACCACAAATGCTGTAGCAACGTTCACAATTTTTGCCTTGCCATCTGACGATGGTTACATCGCCCTTTCTCTCGCCTTTTGCATCGAGGCTCTATCGTCCTTCTCGCCTTATTTCGTTTTCACTTTTCAGTGCACATCCCTGCAGCCTGTATGCGCGGATAGCACTGACGGCCCAGATACTGACGGCATTGAGTTCTCGGAATAGTGGAAGTAATGTATAGTAGTTGTCAAAGAAACACTTAAAGTTCCTGAACTTTGGCAAGTGTTTCGTGAGCCTCATCACAATGGAGCCACCAATTTTGAGGTGCTTGTGCTCGAGCGATTTCCCCATTTCTTTTCCCTGATACAGCTTGAAGTCACTTTGCCATAGTATGTGAGCTGCAGCGGACTAACACTGACACCTCCAGGGTTAGGTTTGTTTTTGCAGAAATCGCTTGGCCGCAACTCTACTTATGAAAGGGATCATCTGCTCATCAATGCTGTTGTTCTCGAATGTAGTAAGTTCCAGATACCTCTGTCTGACAGCATCCAGCACGGGGTGCACCTTCCAAAACTTATCAGTTAGAGCCCGGGGCGAAGATGTCTCCGTGCCGTGCAAAGCTGACCGGAGCTTGAAAAATCTGTTGACCCCCATCGCCTCCGATACGCTGGGGATCTGCGTTGCCGGCTGCCAGTACATACGTATGCGGGGAAACTTGGGCGTCCCCATGATCATCATCATCCCGAAGAATGCTTTAACATCCTCCGGAGTGTTTCCGAGATTTCTTTCCCGAGGTGTGCAGTCCGTAAATATTCATGCACCCCGCAAACTACACGAATGGTGAGTTCAGAAAATACCTTCGAAAGTATTCCCATGGCTCAGCCACCTCCTCTAAAGTCATGTGGTTGTCATCCAATGTTGTGTCAGGGGGCTCGAAATCGCTGCTTGTCCAAACAGGCTGCACCTTTTGATTACGCGCTTCCTCCGCTTCATCATTTTCCTCTGGAGCAGGAGCCGGCTGTTGCAGCCCTGAAGGCCTGCCTCGTGTTCCAGGGGGTTGACCTAAGTGACAAAAGGCATTCTCTTTAACTTAGCTAAGCAGTTAACAATGTCATCCAAATATTTAAAGCGCCTGTACTCGCAGATCGATGAGGCTCTCTGTCCTCCTTAACAGAGAGGCCGACATCGGATGCATTTCCATCGGAAATTTGCATTAGCAACCTCTGTGCTGTGGCACTGCCGACCCTCGTGCGATTTCTCGCATGATTTCGGATGTCTGAATTGGGAAGAAGCAACACATTGTCACTAGAATATATGAATTTCCAATGAAAAGCTCCTTGCAAGAATGCTAACGGCACTATAGCACTAATGTTTTCTTCGAAGCACATTTTTGCACAATGTGGCCATAGCGGCACGCTGTACGTGGGGGGATCGCTGGCCGAGTGGGCTAAAGCGCATACCCAGCTCGACGCGCGTGGAGCGAAAGATCGCGCTGCAGAACCCAGGGATCCTGGGTTCGAGCCCCACCCCTGCCCGTTTCGATCTGGATGAGCATCGTACCGGCGTGCGGTCGTGTATCACTACTGCGTGGCGCACGTTAAAGACCCCAGGTTAGCAGTCGTACTGCACTGGCGAAATTGCTCATCTACAGTGTAAACCAGTGTCGCCTGATCCTGGCAGACCGACCTTGCACTGTATAAATCACTAAACGTCCAATTTTTGACACATGTGTTTGCGAAACTCACTAATCCGTTAGAGAAGCAATTACTGCATCCTAACATTTCAAGCTACTGTGTTACATTCATTAGCATCTTTGGAATGCTTAGGCATGCAGCAAGTCTCGTCAGAAAACATCCAATTAAGCAAAGATTTGTTTTTCGGAGCCACTCGCCACCCGCGTCGCTGTAGAACAAGGAGGCATCCATCTTGCAACGGTGTTATTAATTGTAGTTAAAGGCAGCCACGGCAGATGGCGCCACCAACCCGCTCCATAAGGTGTACACGATCGTGTACAACCTGTCTCCAGCGGTACAGGCCCACATCTAAAGAGTAAATAAATTTGCAAAGTCGAATACACAAATGTGTATGCCATGTCTAGAGCCCTGTTCGGATAACAGTTTGATTATGCGCATCCGATCTGCATCTGCAGACTTTGGATCCGCATCCGAACCGCATCCTCAAACTTTTTACATTATTGTATCCGACCCGCATCCGCATACTTTGTACCCGTATCCGAACCACATCCACAAAATGTGGAACCACATCCGACTCACAATCCAAGTATTCATTGTATAACAAAACACCAAGCGTGAATGAAAACAAAATACAAATAGCACTTTTTAAGCTGTTTGCTTATCTTTGTACAAAGAAAGTTTTGTGTGACCATTGAAAGGGGATGTCATTTTATCATTATCAGTTTCATTGTAATTATATTAAAAGCGATCAGCCTTCCCGAGACACTGTGCGTCGAAAAAAAGAAATTATCTGAGTTATGTGATTGTCAAACAGGATAGTTGGGCGAATTGGTATGTATTCATAATGGAACAGCGCGAATTTTACAGGGATAGAGGAAGGAACTGGACAGGACGAGCGCTGACTAACAACTGAAAGGTTTATTATCAGGAAATCACGAAGGAAACGTACAACAACACGACTCTCCAATCACGATGGAAATGCGCATGCGCCTCACAAGATTGGGTGCTATCTGTTACACAATTCTATGTGCGTCATCCCCGATCTAAACATTCGACCTCACTGTCGAGCAAATTCAAGGAAGCCTGACTCACGCAGGCTGGCCCCTCCTCCTCTATTCTATGAGCTTCGACAATCAAGCTTTTTGGTCCCTGTGTTTATACAAAACAATGGCCTTGTCAAGTAACGGTGTACAGGCGCAGTCCCTGCAGTGTAACGCCAAGTGGGAGCTTCCTGTTTCTGTTAAAGAACTCCGGTGCACCCGCAGGCAAATGTTGAGGCACTGCCCCGTCTGTCCGATAAATACCTTCCCGCACGTGTTTTGGAATCGGTCGTTAGTCAGCGCTCGTCCTGTCGTTCCGTCAAACAATTAAAAAGAGAGGTTCATAGTCGTCCGGCTACGGCGCAGTTGGACGAATATTAACCACCAGACTTTTTGGCTAGGACTCTAAGCATACAAAAAAGAAACACACAGGCAGTTCATGGGCTTCCTATGTGCGTGCGCTGTTGATTCCGAAAGTTTACAAACCGTGGCACCACAGGGTCGCGCTCGCCGTCGGGGCACTTGTTTTGTTTTTGGAATCATGACCACACTACTCTTTGTGGAGAGGGGGAGGTCTCTTCTACTTTCTTTTGACTTTTACGTTTGAGGTTTTCTTTTCCCAAAGAAAGTTTTCCGCTCTTTCCCTGCCAGTGTACTAGCTTTCTGGAGACGATTGCCACCATGTATTCTTTACTTTTTTTATAAATAGCATTTTTGACGAGATGGAACACTAACTGAAGGGATCTTCAGTCAGAATCACATCTTTCTTAGGATTCCTATCGTTTCTTCGAAACGCGTTTTGTGGAAACACGTTTTGTGGACAACTTTTCATGGACATACATTTTATGGACACGCTGTACGTTTTGTGGGCCCATGTCCCCGTGATGTTTTGTCTACAACGCACTTCTTCACTAAGCCGCTAAAAGCTAGCGCGTGATTCATTAAGGCGTGCTTAACTAAACCGTGCCCCCCTCCCTCTTGGCAAGACGCAAAAAGTTTGTTACGAAAATAGCACGGCTGTGTGCGATGAAACGTCTCATGTTTTACGATGAAACAAACACGGGAAGACTTCCAGTCAAACGTCGCATGTCGACGAAATGGTCTGTTGATGAAACGTCAGCCGACGAACTGAATGCCACCAGGTAAAAATTTAGATCCGGATCTGTGGATATCCGCATCCGCAGCCCCAGACATCCGATCCGCAATTCGCTAAAATTTGTCTAATTTTTATCCGCATCCGCCCGTTTACTGCGGATATCCGCGGATAATCCGTGGTTATGCAGGGCTCTAGCCATGTCTGAAGGGATGAAGAAAGGTCCCCGTCGTGCCCCAGTGCGGAAACATTTTTATCAAATTTTCTGGGCTGGTTACAACATGGAGTGAAGGGACTCACATTTATGTTAGTGGTAAAGAGAGCTTGAAAGAAAGAATAATGTGTGCATTAAACTTCTCAAAGCGTGTTGCGGCGAGATCCACAGGTCACCATCTTAAGCTGCCACTGCGCTTCCCCAGCCGCCAACCAGAAATGGGTTTAAAAGCTAGACAAACATCATTAGCTTTTGGAGACTCACGTTTGCCGTTCAATGGCCTTAGGTTTCGAAGGCCCGAGTTACGAGCACTTGTCTCCGACTGCCCGTCTGGAAAGTTGTCGTCGGATTCGTTCACGGGGCGCACCTGGCGTTGTTGCATGTTCTCATAGAGTTGTGAAGCAATACTCTAGAGCACGGAAGGTTATCCACTGCCTTGAGGTTTGCCTGAATTGTTTGTTGGAAAAGCCTCCACCGTGCAACTAAAATGCCAAATGCATTTTCAGAAATGCGTCAAGCCCTCGACAGCCTTTAGCTGAAACAATGTTCCAGGAGTGTCGGGGTTCGGCTCGGATAAGTTCTCGTGAACTTCTCCATAAGGGGAAATGTCTCGTCTCGAACTAGAAACACGAAAGGTATTTTTCGTGGATGACAAGGAAGCTGGAGAGTACCTGAAATTTTCTGGCCAATGAGGTACTGTTGGACACTGTCATTGCTTGAGCCAAATTCGCCAATGTCAACCATAAAAAATTTGTAATGAGCATTACCCACTGCCAAAAGGATGATGCTGTGCGTTTATTTGTAGTTGATGGTTGCCGATCCACAAGCTTCCAGTGCATTGTGTTTACCGTCAGTCGCACGTGCAGAGTTTCGGAAATTTTCGGGGGTCATTAAAAGCATCTGTAATTTCTCTTCACACCTCTTCAGTTCGGGCATGCATGTACGATGGTGTTAGGACTTCTCGCAGTCCTTGACTTGTCTCCTGCACACCCTGGCTGGCAAATGAGAGGCTGTGACAGTAGCTCTTGGCGACGGCTCGCCGAGATGAGCCATGTGCCAGGTGCTTGAAGTGAAGAAAGGAAAAAATTATAGCTGCCTTTCAAAGGAACGCCTTTGGAATTTAATCTTTGCAATACTTAACTGGGCATGTCTATCCTGAGTCGTGCATTTAGGGGAAGATCTTCCTCGGGCATACTTCTTTTTGATACTGTCGAGATCAGTTTGACGAAATCAACGGGACTGGAAATCACTTTGCTATATCCGCTTCTTCGTTATATCTGTACTCCTAAACCCCCCCCCCCCCCCACAAAAAAAAAATAAAAAAAAAAGAAAGAAAGGGTTGTTACGGGTTATCGTGCCTGCAGAAAGCGGTCGAGGCTTCCTTGCACGCGCGCTCTTCAAGATCGGAGCTGCTTCTCGCCAACTGCGAGAGCCTCCGATCGAGAAAAGATCTTGCGAGCTACGTACGGACCGTGTTGACAGCTGCGACGGCCACCGCTCTAGGATACCGGCGGTGCACGGCATTCTTTACGTTTATCGGCACTTCGATCAGATTGGCACCTTTTGTTTCAAGGAGATTGCCTTCGACTTCCCCATTGAGGTGCCGGCGGTGCCGGGACTCTTCATCGTTCAGTGGCGATGACTCGCCGAATCGGTGCTTCAGCGAAGTTAGACTTCCGCGCAAGAGCGCCCACGCCGACCAGCGATACCAACACTGAACATGAAGCAAACAAAGAAGCACGCATGGCACCAAGTTTGCGCTCAAGCTCGTCCTTCGTTGGTGTAGAAAGCCTAGATTTGAGAGAGGGGCAACTGCTCAATCATCTGGTTTGTGGGCTGCGTTTGCAGAACAAGAACAAGAACAAGAAAGAAGAAGAAGTGTCATGGCGTCAGCCGGTCGCAGATCAGGGCAGCTGAGCTGGACTCCTGCTCTTTTCACCATGTTGTGCTTTTTCGTCGTTCTCTGTCAAAGCGAAAGAATGAATGTCTCCGAAGTGATTGCTGCGGAACAGCGGGTCTCG